TACATATGATTAGCGATGGTGGCGTACGAGACTGACTTGGATGAAACGAACAAGAGTGTATCTTTGAGAGACCAGCTCTAAACTCTATGTTCTGGTATACAATGCGATGGGAATAGAATAGTAATTGCAGTACTCGAATAATGCTTCGGGTAATGAATGATGCGGCATGTGATTATACATGTGGACGAATAGATAAGATGAACGTAATCTTTACCAATCAGCTAGTAGTTAAAAGCATCCACAGACATAATAAGAGTGATTTCGAAATGAAAAATGTATGTTATGATAACAAAATATGACCTAGACTAAGTGAATGAATGTGATAATAGACCATAAATGACATGGAAAAATTGGAACGAACTCACTTAAAGTAGGTGATTTTACGTTGTTGAATAATAAAAATATAGTCCAGTGAGTTTCGAATGTCATAACGTGAAGTGGAGTGTTCATAAAATGATAATTTGTTCGGTGAGTGATATGACTGCGTAAATGTCATAATTTAATGTCAGCACGAACAAAAATAATAATTCCACATTCGTTCATAATATGATAACGTTATAATAAGCATATGATGATAAGTTGAATCATAATGCAATATTCCGACAAATGGATCAATGAGAAATGTTGACATAAGGACAGAGTATCGATAAGATAATATGATTTGTGCATATCCATGTCGTGCTGCACAGGCCTTGCTGAGTGCGTCGGATTAGAGATTGTGCTCGCTTCGCTGAATTTGTTCGTCGAAAGTATCATGTGCAGAAATTTCATCGACGTAGCTTGCCGCGTTGCGTTCGTCGTTGTCAGCTCACCACTTTCGTGGGTGGCCGTTGTCGCTGGGTTGCGTTAAGTTCGTCGTCGGCGGACTTACAATTTTGGTAGCCTGTTGTGTTCGCTTGTGGTGGCGGGATCACCATTTTAGTGGCCCGTGATCTGACTCCAATTTGATCGTAATGATCGGTTGCTATCGTCTATCCTCGTATATATTCATTGACTTAAATCGCGTTAGTTAATAACGGAATTAAATAAGTCAAATAACGAGAATGGAGTTTTGAATGCATATATTTTGTATAATTGTTGATTAGACAAACGAACGGGAGAACGACGCGAAAAGAAGAAAGCGAAGCAAAATTGACGAGCGGTGGAGATGGCTGGTAAGCCAACTCTCCCTTTAACAAAGAGTTAATCAATATTTATAAGCCCACAAAAATAAATTACGGACATGTTATGAGTAACGGGATAAGAAGTGTGCATACGCCAACGCGCTCATACAAAGACAGTCAAGACATTGATAAGCGAATAATTAACAAGGTCAGAATGTGACTCAAATGGAATGAATAGAATGAGCTGTCCGAAAGTTAGAATAATAAGGTATTTGGGCTTAACATAATGACAGACACTACAACCTCTTACCCCCTTCCTTTATTTCTATTTATTTTCCTTATTATCATTATTTTTGATTACCTCTATCATTCCCAATTCGTTGATCGTAATTACTTTGATAACACCCTCCTTATTACATATTATATTCACACAACAATCTTATTATTATTATCATCTCAACTGACAAGATTAAATTCTCGTACTATGCATGTTATTTACACAAAATTTTTTTGCATTTTCAATTTTGCTATAATACTATTATACTTGAAAGTAATTAGTCTGTTTGATAAATTTCGATAATTTAATAAGAAAACGGAGATTATCAGAACTATGTGATGATATATTAGCGCAATACATTTCGAACAATCTGATCCCACTTATTGTGACTGAACACTTTACTCCTAATCCTCCTGACCTTTATTGAATGACCTTTCTAATTTGCAAATAATACAATTTTGAAGTATATATATATCGTAACAGATGCAAACGTTCACCATTTTTAACACATAACATTGTCAAATTTCATTAATACACGCCTTATTTTTGGCCTTTTTAAAAATATCACAATAATTGTCGACTTATAACTGTAGAGCCTGATGATGAAGTTATTGAAAACAATTTTTCGCTCAAATATTCTTCATTGTTCAATGCAGAATAATGGCTTGACTATTCGTTCTAATCATGTCGATTACAACATGCTAACATTTCATTTCAGGATATCACGACCAATAGAATGTATAGAAATAAAATGAAGTGATCATATTATATTATTGCTTATAGAAATAAGATTCACATTCCATTGAAGAGTGATATATCTACATAAACAAATGATCTTGACAAATATGACAAGTCATCTGAATTTGCAAAAACAACCATTAATGAATTTATGATGTTAAGATTTATCTATGAAATTTCTTTATAGGAAATATTTTTCACAAAATGTATTATGACACTATAAATCTAAATAAATCTCAGGACATTTCACAGAACATGAAGTCGATACATTGAATTCCTTCAAGGGGATTAATAAACAATCAAACTTCAACCTTTTGAAATTTGCCGAAAAGATAGCAATCAAACGTTTAAAATCAGATCTATGTATGTAAAAAGAGACAGTAATAAATCTGTCTTTACCCTGGTAACATTATACCCTCCCTTTTTATTAATTACGTCATTCATTATTTCAAATCTTTTTGAAGTTTAAATTACATCATTGTCATTTTTTCTTGAATTCATAATTGACTGATTTCAATTCATATATTTGTTTATGACCATTAATCTATTTTTAGTTACTTCATTACATAATTATCAGCTCTAATCACTACTTCAATGTTCTGGAACTTTCCCTCTCAAACTTTATTTATCCGAAACAAACAATTTTTATGACCTTATTGAAATCTTTGCTACATCATGATATACATATATTCATCTTTCATCACCCTCTTATGTATAAGTAGTCGATATCTGTAATAATGTTGATTTAGGTTGTAAGCAGCTAATGAGAACCTAACAAAATGAAATGAATTCATATTATTAGTAAGTTGTGATTTGTCTTCCGTGACTCCATTCGTAAAATATAAACATGTTAATCGATAAAGAACTAATGGACTGAGGTTTTACTTCAGAATATATGCATGTTTAACTCTAATTTGCTTTGATTTCGTAACCGTTCGAATGAAGTTAAATATCTCAGAATACTAGGCAGAAAAATAAGACACGATACTAAGTGAGACAAATGACTTAGTGAAGGACTCTCGTACTGTTATGATGAAAGATGTTAAGGCAAATATTTACTATACTAACGGGCTAATAACTGTTAGGATGGTGACCTCGGTTTTGCGCTAAATTTGAAAGTTAATGACAACTAGTATTCACACATGACTCACAGGACTTAGCAAAGACTGTATTCATTCGGTCCTTATCATTATTATTATTTTAACACATAGATATCGGTACAAGGAGGCACCGAATACATATGCGCCACACAAATCTCATTGGATATGTGTGAGGGCTGTGATACTGACAGGGTGCCCAAACCGAAGCAGGTGGTTTTCTTAGGGGGCCACACCCCGAGCCTTCGACCTGAAGATCTGATCCACAAAACAGTGGAGCATCGTAAGGAGATGCAGTTCCATGGTACATGGTGACCAACGGTTGCTTCATACGCCATTTGTTCCTTCAGGGTACTGGAGCCCATGTGCACCATTGATTTGGGATCCGGTTAAAGCCGGTGCCGGACATTTGCTTTTCGTTCTCTCATTTTCGTAAACAACACCCCCGCCACGAGAAGGCAGTGAGTAGGACTTCCCTGGCAGAGGCTGTAAACGCGTGGCTATGTGAGAGCATTTGGAGAGGGAGAGAGGACTCTCCCCACTCTCGGCCGTACCAGGGAATTTGGGGATATCAATCGGTTCATTTAATCCCTAAATCGCTTATCATTGAGTATCTATGGTTTCACGAAAGACCTAAAAGCAAATTGATCTGCCTTAAAATGAATATTTCATTGTAGAGGAAATATTCCACTTTAAAATCTATGAAACTGATTATAAACCTTAGAAAAAATCATAAGTCACATTACTCTTCTATTAATAGGCCCCTTATTCTAAAGATCTATTTACTTTATGGATAACAATGGACATAAAACTTTCATGGTCATTTCTGACGTTAATCATGGTCATAGGTATATTAGAATCTAACAACTTGACAGCTGCATTACTTCATACACCAAAAATTCCTTTAACATCTTGAAGAAAGCAAGAACAAAGATCTGAGCTCACTATGGAACTTCTCTTAAATAAACATAAAACTTCCTGGACTAGGAAATTAATACGTAAAATGAAAAGTGATGTTTCAGGACAATAAATTAAACTATAAATTTGGAACTCACTATCAATTATTTTCAACTTAAACTACATTAATCGAATCTTTAAACACCCTAAATAAACCACAAATGAACTTAATAAGTACTTGTTAGAGATTTTAATAGGAAAAGTTCATAAGGTATGAGAACAAATAAACTAACCAATTTTGATGTAGTTTTGTTCTCTGAGCTGAATGGTTTTATCATGGAGTTTTCATCGTTATTCTGAACGACATCAGCACAAACTTCAGGTAGAAGTGAAGTGTTCGAATTTCGCCACATGTGGTTCACAGCTTGTCCTGTACACCTCGATGTTGATTGGTTCTTGTTGACCTTAAACCTGTCATTGTTTACTTCTTTTTTGGTTGTATCTTGCATTGGTTTGTTTTTTATCCCGATATTTGTACATAATTTTCCTGATTGGTTGATAAATTGGATAGATTTCAATGTGCTTGTTGATTGCTGATTGACCTGAGTGCCAAGCTTCTAAAAATTCTCTGGTGTTTTGGAATTGCCACATTTTCCCAATCGAATGTGTGTCCGAACCCTGAAGTCTACCTGAAGTTTTTGCTGATGGTGTAGTTCAGAATAACGATGAAAGCTCCATGACTAAACCATCCAGCTCAGAGAACAAAACTCCATCAAAATTATCCACCTGAGCTACAAATCTTCTCCATCATCTCAAAACTTACTAATTAAATATTTAGTAAAGTCTAATTAAATCAAACTATGAAGTGTATCAAATAAAACAACTTACAATGTTTTCGTTTATGTAAACTCAATATGGAATCGATCTCAGCAACGCGTAGATCACATGCTAATGCTAGTTCTAAACCAGCACCGATAGCTTTTCCAGTAATTGCTGCAATAAGCGGCTTTGAAAATGTTAATTTAGTAGAATCCTAGAAAAGTAGAGTATAATAAACAAAATATTTTCCAAATTCAGATGTATAATTTTGACATCTTTGATATTCGTTCTAGACAATTAAACTTCTACTTAATTGTTGATCTTTAAAATCACAACGAAAACTTTTTAATTAAACTAAGTTTAGAGAATGTAACATTACTAAAACTATCCAAATGAGGAATAAATTTCTATCATTTCAACATCCACGATATATATATCAAACAAACATGAACATGTAGAAAGATCAACAACAACACTAACAATTAAATGATGTACTGTGGTGTATGCTACTTATGTTGACAGATATAAGTAGTATGTAACATCAGTGGGAAGTGGAATGCATGACGGCAGATGGTTGATGTATAGAATGATGAAGTAGCTGGAATGGTATTTCAAACTTGTAAATTAATCATAAGAAATTCTATGTTTTAACAATTAGCCTCCAAATGCCTTGATATGGCCGATAGTGGGAAGAGTCAGCTCTCCCTCTCTTGAAATGCTCTCATATGGCCACGAGTATACAGCCACTGCCTTACTTACTTACTTACTTACGCCTGTTACTCCTAATGGAGCATAGGCCGCCGACCAGCATTCTCCAACCCACTCTGTCCTGGGCCTTCTTTTCTAGTTCCATCCAATTCTTGCTCATTTTTCTCATATCTATCTCCATTTCCCGGCGTAATGTATTCTTTGGTCTTCCTCTCCTCCTTCGACCTTGAGGATTCCATATGAGGGCTTGTCTTGTGACGCAGTTCGGTGTTTTCCTCAATGTGTATCCAATCCACTTCCAGCGTTTCTTCCTCCACTGGGATCTGATTTGTTCTCTCCCACAGTAGGTTGTTGCTTATAGTGTCCGGCCAGCGGATCTGAAGTATTTTGCGTAGACAACTGTTAATAAACACCTGTATCTTTTGGACGATGGATTTCGTACTTTTCCAGGTTTCCGCCCCATACAGTAGAACTGTCTTGACATTTGTACTGAAGGGAAGTACTATTCACTAACTTCTCGAGGCAGGTGTGTTCTTTAAGAAATTGAGCGGACGAAAAGCGAATGTCCAGCGCTTTAACAGGGTTGGTAGACACGGAGAGTCCACACAGGGTAGTTGTAAAATCCTGATTCCAAACCAATGGTGCACATGGGCTCCAGTATCCTGAGGAAACAAACGGCGTATGAACCAATTATTGGTCACTGGCTACCGTGTGACTGTATCTCCTTACTTTACTCCACTGTCTTGTGGATCAGACCTATAAGTCGAAGGCTCCGAGTGTGGCCTCCTAAGAAAATCACCTGCTTCGGTTTGTGCACCAGGGCAGTATTACAGCCCTCACACAAATCAAATGAGATTTGTGTGGCGCATATGTATTTGGTACCTCCTTGTGTTGATGTTTGGGTTTAAATAGTAATAATACAAGAATAAATCCAAATTTAATCAACCTTTTAAGTTAGAAAAGCATACTGAACATTTTTAATTCAAACTAAATTACACGCAATGGATAATCAACTATTTCTATAAGATTACATGTAACCGTTATAATCTGTAATTCATCTATCAACTTTAAGCCAGATTTATTACATAACAACCACTTACTTTCAAACTGAATAATTTGTTTTAGATTTTCAAAATTGTATTCACAAAATATTAATTTATAACTCAATTTTAAATTCTAACAAAGATTTACTATTCAAATACTTAAAAACCTAGTTAAATTACTTACGCCTGTTACTCCTCGTGAAGGAGCATAGGCCGCTCACCAGCATTCTCCATCCAACTCTGTCCTGAGTAGTCCTTTGCAGTTATTATTCATCCTTTTCATATCTGATTCTTTTTCCCTCTGTATTGTGTTCTTTGGCCTTCCTCTTTTCCTCTTCCCTTCAGGATTCCAAGTTAGGGCTTGCCTCGTGATGCAGTTTAATGATTTGCGTAATGTATGTCCTATCCACCAACTCCATCTTCTTTTCCTAATTTCCTCTTCAGATGGAAGCTGGTTTGTTCTTTCCCATAGTAGGCTGTTGCTCATGGTATCCGGTCAACGGACATTGAGCATCTTATGCAGATGATTGTTTATAAATACCTGTACCGTTTTGATGATAGTTGTGGTAGTTCTCTAAGGTTCACCTCCGTACAGCATAATTGTCTTGACGTTCGTATTGAAGATTGTGACTTCGATAATGGTCGACAGTTGTTTTGAGTTCCATATGTTCTTCAATTGTAGGAATGCGACTTTTGCTTTGCCAATCCTCGCATTTCCGTCTGCATTGAATTCTCCTTATTGATGAATGATGCTTCCCAGATGCGTGGAAGTTTCCACCTCTTCCAGAGCTTCTCCATCAAGTGTGATTGGGATGGTGTTCTCTGTATTGTATTTGAGGACCTTGGTTTTCCCCCTGTGTATGTTGAGGCGTTTTTAATCTCGCCTGTAGCTCTTCTCGAGTTACTGCCGGTCCCAAGCCCGGGTAAATGAGGAGGGTTGAGCATGGGGCTAGAGACCCGATCCCGTAGAAAACTAACTCGCTAAAATAACACTAACTATTCAAATAAGAATAAGAAAATAAGCATACACAAAAATGAATACAATAAATATAACATACTATAGATACACATGAATAAAGTCTATTCAATGATGTATTATCACAAGTTGGATTTTGTTTTATATAATCCGTTAATTCTTCTATATCCAAACCCAAACAAAAATCTTTTCCTTCACCATATAATACACCTCCAATAATATTATCATCTTTATCAAATTGATTGTATAATACATCACTTAACATTGAAGCAGTTGTTTGATTTATTAAATTACCTTTCTCTGGTCTATTTAAACCGATAAGCAGAAGACGTCCAATTTTTTGTGTTAATACGCATAGATTTGAATTCATTGACATCTAGATAAGTGAAAAATAAGCAGTCACATAAGACCAGTAGATAGTTGTGAAACATTTAACTAAGATAATTCATCATAGTAGTTAATTGAAAGACAATTTTCATTATGAATCAATGCTAGTTGCAGAATGATTGAGAAATCGTGAACATTAGACACTTGTTTTTTGTGTTATTTGATCACTTCCCAACAGTATGTACTCATGACCTTACCCAAGATTGAATACAGTGTTTTCAGGACTTATAAAAAACAGGGTATGTTTATGCCGTTGGGTAGGAATCCAGTGGTCGACAATTTTAACTTCAGTCAATAAAGCTTGATCCTTATATAATGTCATTAGCGATTGGTCGTTGGAAGAAAGTTAGGGGCGGCCAAAACAAAACGTGGCATCAGTGCTTCAAGCCAATAACTTCCAGTCTGAACTATGTTGGTAGATACAGACTACTTGGTTGGGGTGCGTGTAACTATCGTAACAAATGGTTGGAGACTCTTGGTGAAATGGCTCAGAATCGATCACAATGGCGTAGGTGTAGACATTCTCTGTCTTCCTTTAAACTATGAGATTAAAATCGTTTCATATCTTTCTTTCTACCAACTAATTCTTTCTTCTTGTACTATATGTAATCTTTTATATATTAACACCATTGAACTAACTACTTCTATGAATCCGGTGTTAATCTTGTTGTGCTAATGAGGTGTGGCAACTTGGACCGATGCATATGTGTGTCTGGTCCTACATTTTAGCTGACTGACTGAACGTGAAAAATCAATAAAAGTAGCACTACAAAGTTGTTTAGTCATGGTTTTCAGAATTCGACAGTGATCAACAAAAAGACCCGATTGATCTAGATTTCGTGATACTTAGAAAGCACATTCGAAATCTTATCAGGACTGACAATTGTCATTGGACTCGAAGTAATATATATAGTAACACAGTCAGAGACTTCACCATAGAGTTACTCAGGTTACTTAGATATTACTCGATAAGGCCTTTAGAGGCTAAGTATGTGCTGTAAACAGTTAGCCCAATCTGTATCCATTGGGAACACTGAAAAACATCTAGAAAAATGAAGGAGTGTGTATTACACTACGATTAAACGATTACATAGTTTATGTGAAAATTATATATATATATATATATATATATATATATATATATATATATATAAATTTTGATCATATATAATGTCTTCTTTATACTCGGCACCCAATCTTTGTCAAACTATTCATTCTAATATTGACGAATATTTGTATAGATTACTTATTTTGTTACTCGATTTAGCATGCTTCAAAAAGTTTAGAGAAGTCGGAGGTTATCAGTAAACCTAGGAATACTTCTCTTTTCTGTACACTAACCAACGTTAAAGTGAAGCTTTGATTCTTACTGTGGGCCCTTTTCTCACTGTTCGGAACCGGAACGCAGGATTATGGGGATCTGGAAAACGACTAAGAAACCATTATCAATCGTTCGATTAGTAGACCTATCCGTATCATATTTGTTTAATTCTTAGTGATCGTGAAATTCTAATCCTCATCTAACTTAGCAGTTCACATTTATTATAACAATGACAAACAGCCGACGGTCTTACAATTCACCATCGTCTTACCAGCCACGATAACAATGTCTCTATCCATTATACGATTGAACTAGGGATAAGAGAAAATCGTTGAAAACAATGCTCAAATGCATCTAGAAAGATACTTAAGAATCTAAATGGAGTCATTCACATATACTTTTGTTGTTTGATATTAATTATAGGGAATAACGAGTACTGCCTGATGTGTAAATGAACGATACTAATCATACTGTTCCTAAAAATATTAAGAGATTAACGCTGGATTTTCTGAATATTACACAATCACCTGATAATTCTGATATGCAATCATAAAATACAAAATCATGATCCTTGTGATATTCAGTTATTTTTATAAATACATGTGATGTTTCTCGGACTTTTAAAAAAGGAAGCAACAATCACATAATTGGTATCTAAGTGATAGATACATTTTTACTTTATGTGTCACACCTACAAACTTACCAGTAGCGATAGGTATTACTAACCTGTCCGCCTGTGTTACCCTAACTTACCTGTTTCAAATTAACTAGGTACGGATTTGCTTTATCCTGTCTATGTAATTAGAAACTATCTCACACCACATTAGTGAAATTTGAATAAAGGGAACTTCATTTATAAATCTACTACCACTTGAATGTTCCAAATATGACTTAATATCAATCACTTCTTCCAAAATCTACATATTTTCTGGTTGTGCATAACATCCTGTTTTGTTCGAAACCAAGCATTATCCACTTAATTTAAGTCAGCCAGTCGTAAACAACGTAGAACTCGGGACATACATCCATTGGCCAGAGTTTCGATACCAAATTAGCATAGTGAGATGAAATTATGAAGACAAATAACGAAGCGATTGAAGCAGTATCAGTGGTAGCAAACAAACTTTAGGAATAGAGAATATGGTTCTAGAATAAATAACGAATTCGCGGGACAAAAAGTATGAAAAAACTATGAAACTCAGGATCTAGAAGATAAAAAGTAGATGTGTAAGTACAATTGCAATTGATTAGGAGCGATTTAACCAGTATTCAGATGTTGGTAACAATGATCGCACGTAACCCCGTCAGATAATCTATATCTGCAAACATGGGTCGGAACACTCAATGCCTTCATTGACTGATGCCAAGTCTCAGTTTGACCGCCTCTAGTTTTCTTCCAGCATCAATCAACATAGTGCGTCAAGGTAAGTGGTGGTTGGGCTCACATAACACATGTCGCAACCACTTCAGTTGATGAAGATTTAGTTTTTATCAACCGATGCGTCATCTTTCCGAAGTATCACGCGTATGACCTCAGTATACAACACTCGGTCATTTCATAACATCCAAGCATTACTTCGAAGATACCTCTGTTCAAAGGGCTGCGGCCTATGCACATCCTCTACTTATATAAACTATGTTTTAGAAACACAGTCATACAGAATGGACTGCTGTGCAGTTAGTTATCGAAATAAGATCGACATGAGTTTGAAAGTTAAACAACAAGTAATTGTTTCACTATCAGATTCTAAACAGGAAGATCTACTACACCTAATCACATCGGTGTACAAATCCAATAATCACAAAACTTTCCAGAAATCTATTCCAAGAGTGACATAAAAAGCAATCAGGAGAGTAAGGTTCGAAAGTAAACATTCAAGAATCATATCAAGGACGGAAAATTACTCCATACTGATGAACATGTTTTTAGATAACTGGTTGTCTCCTCAAAGGCATATTGATGATAGTGTTTATAACCCCAACAGATTCGCAATTAATATTCATCCAGTATGTACACCACAGAACAATCTAAGAGATTTACCTCTGAGATGCTGACAAAGTTTATAAATCATCTTAACAACACAACATCGACAAAATCTTCAGAAAAAATATAACAAGTGTGACTCAACTAAGATGTCACCCAATCAAACCAAATTTAACACAAATGTGATTAGACAATTATTCGGCATAGGTTTGTTTTTGTGACCTTATTTTCAGTTTACACCATTGATTAATCACAGTTAAAAATCATCAAGCGCTGGACAACTGTTTCGTTCTAGCATGCGACTCCTAAACAGTACGCATCCATGACCACATCAGGTATTGAACCAAGAACTTTCAGACTTTCTGGTGAATCCCTAACCTTTAAACCAATGAGGAGGCATTCAGTGGTGTACAAGTCTAACTTCGACCAATTGGCAAAATTGCCCTACCATATATGATACCCTCAAGTATTCACTTAAAACAGTTTAGATTAAACGACTGTGTAACAGTCTGAATCTAACTGTAAGCAATAACTTTTTCTATAAAAATGGCAAGATAAATAATCAGAACAATAATCATACTACAAACTAATAACAATTATTATCATTATTATTTAAACAAACATGAAGAAATAAAATAAAAACAAAGAGTATTCTACACTTTTTCGTATATTTATTCAACATTTACAAAAATTGAATCAGAGAGAAATAAGGAAAAGACGATTCGATAAAGTACCACCGATTACTACCGGTTCAAAGGCCTTGTAAAGGAGGAGGGTTGGACATGAGGGTTAACCACCCCATTCCTTAGAAAACCAACTCGCTAAAAAAAACGCTAATCATAGATTATTAGTAGCTCAGAACTTAATACAAGCAATAATAAGACAAAAAATAATAAAGTGTATCAATTTTGAATCTTGTTTTGTAATTAATTACATAAGTTAAAAAGATTAATAAAAGAGAATGAAATTTCTTTACTCAGAAACAAGACCCAATAACAAACTCTAATATATATCTATATAGATTTATATGTTAAGAGATATGTGTGTATGTCTGTTAAATTATTTAATTGTGAAAACTTTATTCATGTGAAGTATTTTGTTTTTAGTAAAATATTTGAAATATTAAAAGAGAAGTACTTTTATATCAAGAAGAAAAATCCTACTGGATTTAATTGAAAAATGGTACCACTCTTTTTATCATTCATGAAATGTATCAATAAACAACACACACAAAAAAAAACAACAATAAAATCGATCTTTTTTGATAGCTCAAAGTGGAAACTATTCAAATAGAAACTACAGTATGAAGATTGATTCGATAACTTACAAAATAATAATAATAATAATCTGTTCGATTATACATTGAATCAATGTTCACAATTACATAAGAAAGAATTGTCAGTTAATTTATTTATTATAAATTAATATATTTGGCTTTTGAGAAGCAATTGATGGTTTACCATGTAATACTTTAGCACGATCCATAAAAGCATTTACCATAACAGTGACAACTTGATCAAAAAATAATCCAGCAATTTTTGAATAAATAGGAGAACAAAATTCGAAATCCACCTGGAAAACAACATTATTTTGACAAGAATAAAACTTGTATTATTTATTTATTTATTAATTAATCATTTAGTATTGAACAAAACGGTTATATATTCAATAAGATAATGAATGTAAAAACAATCATGATCAAGTATAGAATATAGATGGTCAACTTTTCACATGATTCATATTTAATTGACTCATGTTATTCTATTTACTAAAGTCAACATCTAAATATGATTGGATTAACACAGTAAAGATTTGATTTGGATTATTACCCTGAAGAAGTCCAGACAAATTTTCTGGACAAAACATTGGAATTATTTTAAATTTTAATCGTTGAGATTATTTCTGAATTGTTCATGTCCCTTCTTTTTTTCTGTTTCTAAATTTGTTTCACTATATTGTACTCCTTAAATAACATCTTCAAACCCTAATGTTTCCGATTACTGCTTATACTTTTACTACCTCTACCACTATGGGATATGAATCGACGACTGCATTTCTGTGCTAATGTGGTACGGCAACTCGAACTGATGTACGTACGTACGAAGTTCTACGTTATTACTGACTGACTGAGATTATTCCAAACATAATTTTTACATATGATGACTTCTCTATACTGGGCGCCCAATTTTTGTCAAACTATTCGTTCTAATATTGACAAATATTCGTATAAGTTGAATTACAATAACTTTCAAATAGAAAAGAGGAGGTTTAGAATAAATAACACCCAGTAGATCATAAGTCTGTTATTGATTTTATCCCCTGAGTTCTGCCCTTGTATTACTATGGTTACAGTAATTAATTATTACAATCCACTGACGAAGTATAGGAGAAGTGGTTGAATACTTAAACTATTCAGACTCCTATTAATATGTTCCAAGTTTGAACTTACTACAGATTAAGCAAGTTGGATAGTAGTATTACGACAGCTCACAGAAACATTGTAAATTCAGTCATATTTGATTTGTATATGGATTAGTACTACTATTTGTCATTTAAAACTGGTCAGGGTTGGAACCTGCAAATGGACAGACGAAAGTTGAATGTTTTAACCGTTAACCCATTAGGTAAATGAGTATACACTGTGATTAATGCAACTGTTGATTCGTTAGACATACATATGGATACACCAACAGAGTTCTAGAATACGAAGTGGGATCTATGTGGGACTAGATAGGTCGGAAAACTCATACATAACATTTCGATGTTGTCAAAGTACAAACTATAAGATGGGGCTTTTAAAACAACTCTTATGTCTCACGAAAAAGCAATTATAGAAACAAACATCACAGTATATATGGTATTGTATAGAACAACTAATAAGAATAAATGTAAACTACGTGGCTGATACATTACGAATGTCATAATAGGTCAAGGCATGGAAAGTTTGTACAAAAATGGTTGCGGTGACAACTGACAATACATCACAACAATATTGATTTCGGATGATAGTAATGAGAGGAATTAAACTTTCCTGTGTAAAACAATCAAGAATTTTACAGATATCGTAAAATTCGGGTTATGTGGCTTAATAAATTTTGTGTGGTTAATTTAAATGTGCAAGAACAACTCGCATCCGTAACTCAACATAACGTATGAACGAGAGGTTATTCATAAAGTTGTCTCTACTCTCTAAGTAACACAAAGTTGTCATTCAAACAAAGCGTTCAACAGTGAACCAAAGAGTAAAACAGTAGAGATTGGTAAATTTACCAATTATGATGTATTTGCATTAACTATAATTTTGATATCTTCAATGTCAACCAGTTACTGGAAAATCTTCATTACTCCAAAAGTTATTTTAATTAACTGATTCACCACATTCTTGGGTATGACCCACACTAAGTGCGGAGGTTAATGATACTACTTACGTGATAAAATTGAAAACACAAGATGGCGTTTGACAGCTAGTTAGTGTTCATGCGGTTAAAGATTAGGAGAGTCTACTTTGTCTGATCTAGAGTTCCTCAGAGTTGGAACAGTTTATTTAATAGATCATATTTCACTTCTCCCTTCCTTTTTGTCATTTCATCCTTTGGTTTTCATAAGGTTAATTGATATGATTTTGTTGGCCTATATGCTACGATTATTCTAAATGGCCTCAAAAATCTTGGTTATATGTCCTTTATATTTAGTAGGATGATCAATTTGCTGGGTTGTCGGTGGAAACCAAGCCTATTGTAGCACATAAACCAACAAAATCATATCAATTAACCTTATGAAAACCAAAGGATGAAATGACAAAAAGGAAGGGAGAAGTGAAATATGATCTATTAAATAAACTGTTCCAACTCTGAGGAACTCTAGATCAGACAAAGTAGACTCTCCTAATTTTTAACAGCATGAACATTAACTAGCTGTCAAATGTCATCACTTATTGCTGCTTATATGAATACATATAGACACGTTCAACCAGCAATCAACGCATCGAAATCGCTCTAATTTACCAACCAATTAGAAAAATTACTGACAAAATAGGATTTATAAACAGGTCGAAGAGGGAGGCAATCAAAATGACTATGTAAACAACAACAGGTAAAATGTCAACAATAACCAACATTACAAATTGTCAGTAATATGTGGAAAAATTCGAATACTTCACTTCTAACTGAAGTTTGTACTGACGACGTTCAGAAAAACAATGAAAGCTCCGTGATTAAACCTTTCAGCTCAGAGAACGAAGCTCCACCAAAATCAAATTGTACTAGCCAGACAAAAGGGGTTAGCAAAAAAACCCTAACATGAAAATATAATATCGTGATAAAAGGATGCACTCATTATTCAATCATTAAACCATTTACTGCTGTAAATTTTAAAAAAAACTTTAATCAATAAACTAATAATTACTTCAAATCCGGTCAACTTACGGAAAACTCTACAAAACAAGAATTCGGATTCTCTGGGAGACCTGGATGAAAATGCCATTCATTAATTAAATGATGAAACATTCCAGCATTTTGAGCGACAGACTTAAAAATAAATAGAAAGGAAAAACGTAGTTGATATACGCTATGCGTTCATCATAATAAAAACATTTCAAATTATTTTTCTAAGTAATCAAAAACTGTATTGAACGAGAATTCAGTTGGGGAAAACTAATGTATTATTTAATGTAAAACTAGAATGCTGTAGTAAGATACAAAAATCATACATTAGACACATTATTTCTATACTTTTCTTCAGTTGTCCTTTACAATTCTGTTATTACAATTGTTCTGTTTACCTTGCTGTTCTCTTCAATTTAACCTTCTGCTAGCGGGCATCCCACTTCCGATTGCTATTACATACTATTTATATCTGCAACATAAGTGGCATACATTACAGAACAATTAAGTGAACAGGATGAAATGAATTCACACAATTGAATAGTCGCTGAGTAATGACTAAGATCAAGACTATATAGTCCTTCGTAGATCTTATCGATCAAGTCCCAATATTGCCACTAGCCTAAGTGACTCGATATTACATACCTTATGTTTAGATGTTAAGTGGTTAGGTCGTGATTCGAATAGCTTAGTAGTAACGTCTCATACTGTGGCAGATTGACCAAATTCTTAAAACTTTTCGCAACTCTAAAGTAAGCACTGAAGATGTATTAGGTTAAGGATTTTCTATAAATCTTGGATGGTTTGCATACTTTCTTAATGACTTCTATCCTAAGTATTATTTATCAACTCCAGTAATGAATGAGAAACCTGGAGGTGACTAATGCATGACATGGCTTGCTGGAATGAAGTATGGTTAAGTTACACTAGTATATGTCTGATAGTGACGACTACTCTAATGAAGTGCTAGTGACTGTACAACCGAAGGGCTTGAGACAACATCAGACAGCTCAGAATAGAATCTCATGGGAATCTTGTTGCAGTTCCAAATCATGTTCTTCCTAAACAGATGTTTTTGGACCAAAAATAAATACGATTTAGTATTGTTTTTATTTAAACTGTATTCTTTAATACCCTTTATTTATAGTTTCCATGATATTACCACATGTTATTTTAAAATCAACCAAACAAAAAGTAACGAACACCCTTAATTACTTACTTATGCCTGTTACCCCTCGTGAAGAAGCATAAACCATCTACCAGCATTCTCCATCCAACTCTGTCCTGAACAATTCTTTCCGGTTGTTATTCTTCCTTTTCATATCTTCTTACAATTCTCGAAGCAGTATGTTTTTTGGTCTTCCACTTTCGGATTTCCCTTCAAGATTCCAAGTTAGGGCTTGCCTCGTGATGCAGTTTAATGATTTGCGTAATGTATGTCCTATCCACCAACTCCATCTTCTTTTCCTAATTTCCTCTTCAGATGGAAGCTGGTTTGTTCTTTCCCATAGTAGGCTGTTGCTCATGGTATCCGGTCAACGGACATTGAGCATCTTATGCAGATGATTGTTTATAAATACCTGTACCGTTTTGATGATAGTTGTGGTAGTTCTCTAAGGTTCACCTCCGTACAGCATAATTGTCTTGACGTTCGTATTGAAGATTGTGACTTCGATAATGGTCGACAGTTGTTTTGAGTTCCATATGTTCTTCAATTGTAGGAATGCGACTTTTGCTTTGCCAATCCTCGCATTTCTGTTCGCATCTGATCCTCTTTGCTCATCGACGCTGCTTCCAAGGTATGTGAAGGATTCCACATCTTCCAGAGCTTCTCCATCAAGTGTAATTGGGATGGTGTTCTCTGTATTGTATTTGAGGATCTTGCTTTTTCTGTTGTGTATGTTGAGGCCTACTGAGGCATTTGTTGATGTGTATGGGATAGAAGGGGTAGGTCCAAATCGTCTAGTTGCATCTAAGCTATCGATTGTATTCCATGCTTCGCCTCGGATATCGAAGTCGACATAATCCAGTCAACCATCGCCCGTAGCGTTTCTCGGGTCACTGCCGGTCCCAAGCCCTAGTAAAGAAGGAGGGTTGGGCATAGAGTCAGCAACCCAATCCTGTAGAAAACAACCGTGCCAGAAAACGGCAACTAGAATAAACAAATAAAACCATCTAAACCCTGCCTTCTCAGTTGAACAATCTTCATTTGCAGTGAACACTCTACACTTTATATTTCTCATATTCAATCATAGACAACAATGAACAAACACATGAATACTCACTTACCTTTAAGTGTTTCGGTCGCTGAAATGTTATTCGAGACATATATGATTCACTAAGTGGAGGAAATCCAACACCCAGACAAGCTAGCATGTTATTTTCACCTTGTTCCAAAACAGTTGATTGGTTACACCAAGGTATAAATTCTGAATAACGACCAACGTCAATTGCAATATCAAACATGTTTTCCGGAGAATACCTGGAAATAATTTTTTACCGAGACAAAACATATCGTGGTAATGAAGTTTTAGGTATAAATGATACAAAAGTGAGAATAATCTAGTTTGTACAATACAATGAAAACAAACAGGATAATTTACTTGAGAAATAAATGGTACAATCAGTGTGATAATTCTGCCTACAAATTATTATATAAAAATAATTAACGAGAAAGCATTTCTTTCTGGGCGTCATGTTCGTCAAATAAGTCAGATCTTGCCTCCAAATGCCGTGGTACAGTCGAGAGTGAGGAGAGTCGATTCTCCCTCTCGAAATGCTCTCACACGGTCACGTGCATACAACTACTGCCTGGGAAGTCCTACTCACTGCCTTCTGACGGGGGGGATTTTTACAAAATTGAGAGGACAAAAGGCGAATCTCCGGGAGCTTTACTCTGGTTGATAGATAGGAAGGATCCATCTAGGGGAGTTGGTGTACATGGGCTCCAGGACCCCGAGGGAACAAATGGCGTACTAACCTATTGTTGGTCACCGGTCACCATGGGACTGCATCTCCTTACGTTGCTCCACTGCCTTGTGGCCTCCTAAGAAAACCTCAGTTTGGGCACCCGGACCGTATCCAAACCCTCACACAAATCAAAGTATTTGTGTGGTACATATATATTTGATACCTCCTTGTACCAATGTTTATGTTTAAATAAATAAGCAGATCTTGCATGTTAACTGACGAAATTCTGTGTTTCAAGTGAAAATCCTGTGGTAACCAAACCTTACTCTTCATTTTGCACTAGAAAACTACAGGAGCCCACAAAAAGAATAGACTATAATATTATCCTACTTGACTCTTAACATGCCCGAACAAACAAACGAAATGCAACGGCAAACGAGAACAGTTAGTCTGCAATTACTTGATAAAAGATAAGGGAACATAAAATAGTCACTGATGAATAGTATAGCTACGACGCAAAAGTTTCACTCTAGAGTAGTTAGAAATGTGAGTCTATAGGTTAATAATACCTACTACGGGATTCCACTGTGTGAAAAATGCTCCAAAAACAAATAATATCAACATACGTATGTCTTTAATACTTCTAGGTAAGTCCATCTGTTGATGCGCGGAATATGTGACTTTTTAGAGATCGATTTCCTAGTCAATCCACTTGAGCCGACGAGTTTATGTCAGATAATAGCGATCATAATCAGGCCCGAAAAACAACCTTTATCATTGTGCCGCACATACTACGTTATTGCACAAAACAAAACAAAACATATGGTTATAAATATTTACTATGACTGTAATATATTTATTTATTATTTATATATTTTAACACATAGGTATAGGTACAGGGAGGCACCAAGTACATATGCGCCACACGAATCTCAATTGATTTGTGTGAGGGCTGTGATACTGCCCGGGTGCCCAAACTGAAGCAGGTGGTTTACTTAGGCCACACCCCGAGCCTTGGACCTGAACGTCTGACCCACAAGGCAGTGGAGCATCGTGAGGAGATGCAGTCCCATGGTAGCCGGTGACCAACGATTGGTTCATACGCCATTTGTTCCTTCAGGATACTGGAGCTCATGTGCACCATACTGTGAAATAACTATAGAATGTAACTAATTAACTTCAGAAATACCGAACGTTTCTATCAACATAGCCGACTTTTTAAAAAATAGATGTGGAACTAACCCTAACAGTCTTCTTTCTTTGTAAGATTGTGATTTTTTGGTAAACGTAGGACCAAAACTGAAGATCTCACGCTTGAATACTATTGGAAGATTTGACGTAATCAAACAAGGGTATTTTGGACATATATTCAAAAATTTTAAACAAATCATCGGAAACACAGGATCATTACGTTTGATTATATCACCCACAGTAGAACCCTATGCATTCAAAAGCATAGAATAATTAAAACGATAAATGTATTGTTATGACTTGAAAGCTATCCAAAAATCCTACTTAAGTACATCGTTCCCAACATAAACTAAAGACGTTACTCATTCAAAAAATGCACGCTTATCATAAGCTGTTATACTCTGACATTTACCTCGACAAGTTCATTTTACTGTGCTAAGACAGCACAAAAACTTGAACCCATGCATATCTGCGGCAGGTTCTACGTTGCTTATAAATGAATGACTGACACAAGATTTTTTATGAGCTCGTGGACGGGGTATAGTTAACACAATTAAACTTCTTTGGATGAACAGATCTTAGAAAGAGAAAAATACGTAAGGACAAATGGATGGATGTTAACCACAAATTAAGTTGAATCCCACAAAAATGATTATCTTTCTCACGGCAACTTACTATGTGAAATAACAGTACTTGGTGGCAATAAGTACTCAGGCAAGTTTAAAAATAAACTTCCTGAACATTCTAAATGATAGATAGTGGTAACGTTATTACACATGACTATCAAGATTGAAAAGCTTTTATAGCAGTGATCCACATAGTTCCAATGTCTAGTGAACATGGCTGCAGTTTGTATGCTAAATACCTTGGAAAGGCAAGTGTTAATGAACCAGCCAATACAGAAGATAGACAAAAATACCGACTAGCTCTAGACTGAGGGTAAGCTAAATATTTTTCTATGTCGAAAAAAATGGTTTTCTTGTTGACAATGATAGATTGACTAGCAATCACGAAACCATTCCTTGACTTTTGTGACAGAAATGGCTGTAATTACAGTAAGTTGAATACAAGCACAATCTATACGTATCGACTGTAGTAAGGTTGTTAGTCTGGAACTAGTAAGATAAAGTTCAAAAGATTTTTTTCCACACTAAATTATCAAGTTCGGAACACGGTAGTCAGGAGTTACAGTTTAAACCGTTAAACGCGGTTTGAAGATGTCGACCAGAAACTAGGCACAAATACGCACCAGCTCAAAAATAATGGTAGCGAAACTAGGACAATATTGTCCTAGTGGTATTAATACCACTGCATGACTTTGTTGTTTTCAGAACTGACAGAGGACAAGCCATGTAAGACCTATGAATTTAAATAAGTATTGAAACGGCATTTAAATTATAGGAGTATAAGTCTTACCCCATACAATGGAATTCCTAGCAACAACAACTAAAAGCAACTCAAAACATCATCAAAAACCCATTTTCCGAATAACCCGCTGTAAGCACTAAAACATTATTGGACAGAAGTAAATAATTAATGATTCTTTATCACCCGCTTATTAGCAGGACAGGATCAATGAATAGAAAAGAACAGACTTACGGTGGTGGTCTATTAGAAATTTCATAATCGCATGCCTGGGATGTCTCTGTTTCGCAACGACAGAAAAACAGGAATTGGGGGTGGAGTAGCCCTATACATACGATCTGGCTTGGAGGTACACCAAGTTCACAACCATGAGTTTAACAATCCTGAGGAATTTGTGTGGTGCTCTGTGAGATTGTCCACTACTTCGAGATGCCTAGTCGGAGTCTTATATAGGAAGCCCACTGCCGACATCGAGTATGACAGTCGCATGCTGGAAGGACTATCCCGCTCCGCGCGTCTCGGTTGCACTCATATCCTGATTCTAGGGGACTTCAAACTCCCTAGAGTCAACTTCGCGGAACATACGTACATTGGAGGTGAAAATTCAATCTAAGCTCGGTTCTTCAACCTCATTGAGGATTTGGGATTACACGAAAATTTGAAGTCGGCTACTCGTTGGAGGAACAGTCAGACACCGTCGCGCTTAGACTGTGTTTTTACAAACGAAGAATTTCTAGTCGACAACCTCTCAATTCTTGTTCCCCTGGGGAAAAGTGATCATGCAGTTATAGCCTTCAGTTTTGTCAGCAAAACTAAGCTAAGATATCCCAACAACAACAAGCGCTGGAATTTCAAACGGTTGAATGTGTCAGCTCTACAGGACTATGTACAACAGGTGGATTGAGATGTTCACCCCCAACTTGATGTGGATGCTCACTGGAACTTCCTATTACACACGCTCTTATGTGCTACAAAGCAGTCAGTCCTTCAAACGGTCCCCAAAAGCCACATGCAACCTACAATAATCAAAAAACCGCACTCTTCGTTTGTTAAGCCGTAAAAGGCACTGTTGGGCAGAATACAAACAAACTGACAACAACAGCGAGTACAGGCAATACAAACATATAAGGAACATATACACGAAGGCTATAAGAGAAGACAGGCTTCAGTACCAAATAAAGCTTATGGATAAACTTATTTCCAATCCGAAAAGCTTATTCCGTTATGCAGCCTCTCTTCATCAAGCCAAAACCGCAGTTTTTCAACTGCTATGTTCTAATGGCCTGACCGATAATGACGGTGACACCGCTAACCTTCTGGCTGAGCAATACTCTCGGACATTTCAACCGACCCACATCAACTATACTGATGATGGCTTCATCTGCAACTGCACAGGACTTCCCGAAGGTAACCTGAGGGCTGACTTGGTGCTCCGAAAACTGCAGCACCTAGGAACAGACACTTCTCCTGGTCCAGATATGGTCCATTCTGCTATACCGAGGGAAGCAGCTTCAATCCTGGCAACACCGCTTAGCGTGATGTTCTCACACTCGCTAAGTCGAGGCAAACTACCGGATAATTGGAAGCTGGCTCATATCACACCAATTTTCAAAGGAGGTTGACACAGCGAAACTTCAAGTTACCAACCGGTGGCTCTTTTCTCTATACCTTCAAAAATCATAGAGTCCCTGATATACGATGGTATACACGACTATCTGCTGTCCTCAGATCACTGTCCGAGATACAAAACCCAATGTGAAATCACCCCGTATTCTACGATAAGATCAACGGAAAAGTTCAGGCGTTTTAATAGCTCATCTTAAAGCAGTTTCGAAAAACCCGTCATCAAACTAGGGTCCACATGTTGAACATGTCCAAGTATGTTAGCATCCTAATTAAGACGTGAACTAGTTGCTTGAATGCAATACTCCAAATGAGGTCACACATTAGTAGAGCATACAGTCGGAAACATGTTTTCGTTTGCTCAGTTCAATCCTTGGTGAAGTGACCGTATCACTCGAAAACCCTCGCCAGCTGTTACATTTCGATCTATAGTTGTTTTGAAGTCACAAATAACCATCTTTTCTCTAAGTGTGTCGAAATGATGTACCGTTGAAAGTGTACCGTTAGCCATTCCCGTGTTCAATGTGTATTAGCACACCCTTTCCTAGATAATCCCCATGTATCAACTTTGGAACCATTTAACTAATTCCTCTGGATCAGCTTGAATATCAAGATGGTCAGCCTCACTGTTATATCCTAGTGAAGATTAAATTACGAGTAATTTCTTGGACCAATTAATAGATCAATACTATCTATGTATTCTTATGGTATAACTATTCAGTAACTAGATTGTGTATATATTTCTCTTATTATAAGCTTTATTTTGATCTATAGATTATTATTGTACGATTTACTGTTCTTAAGTTACGTTCAGTTTATTGACTACTGTCTCTCACGTTCACAGCCTTTACTGGGTACAAATGTTATTTCCTATTTTATGGTGCATTTTTGGTCTGTTTGGTTGATATATAAACCCATTATGTCTGAAATAAATGATTCGCGTAGTGGACGCTGTTATTGGCATTCCGGACTCAGTTGGACGGGTTAGGCGAGCAACGGACCAATAGGACTCTAGGCTGATCAGACCGGACGAACATCATTGGTTTAGCACAGTACAAGAGTGAATAAGTCTTATTTTGATTGGCGAATAAATTACAAGATAACATGCCGAACTTAAAGTCACAACACTCAACACTTATTGTTTTCCGAACTTTGGCATCATCTCTAGATTAGTGTCGACGACTAAAGTGGTCTTGGTAATTCCTTGACGGGGAGAAGGAAAATAGGAGCCCCAAAATGATGCACCTTTTTCTACCAGCCTTTTTTCAGATAACACCCCGTTTGTCATCACACTCTGTTTCTGTTCGCAGAGGAAGTTTCCTACACTCACTCGAATTGCGACTGTTATCCCAAATCTCGAGAACTTCTACATGAGCCCTTAGTGAGATATTTTATCAAATGCTCTGCCAAAATCCATGAGTATCACATCAACAAACAACCTGTTATCTTTTGCTGCTGTTCAGTCCTGTCCAGAAATTGGTAAGTTAATTGTGCACGAATGTCTATTTCGAAACTCCTGTCGTTCCAAATGTGACAGATAATTTTATATTGCGCAAATTAGTGATTTTCAAACACCTTAACTGCTGGGATAGCTAGACCAATAGGTTGGTGGTTAAATGCAATTTGTCACTCTCCATACCTATGTACAGCGCAAAATATAGAATGATTACAATCCTACGCTCACCATCCAGACACATGTTTCCAATTTTATGATGGATTACCTGTTCTACTAAGACAACCTATAACATTCTAACTCGGACTTTTACATTAAGACTATATGGCAGGCATCGGATAATAAGAAAAAGAAAAGCAGACAATAAAAGACATAGCTACTGGTTTGTTTAACACTACTCTCTACATGCACTTTTTGTTCTAATAAATAGACTTTCTTATTCCAACCCTGACTTTACTTCCTTCATTTGAACTTACTCCATTTTGGTAAATATCATAACTCATTGTTCTTTGTTACTACATTCTCTCATCTGGAGTCTCTAATCACATTTCACTCTAGCTACAGGACTTACTTACTTACTTACTTACGCCTGTTACTCCTCGTGAAGGAGCATAGGCCGCTCACCAGCATTCTCCATCCAACCCTGTCCTGGGCAATCCTTTCAAGCTCTTTCCAGTTCTTATTCATCCTTTTCATATCTGCTTTTATTTCCCAACGTAATGTGTTCTTTGGCCTTCCTCTTTTCCGCTTCCCTTCAGG